GACCCATTTCTCGAAAAACTCAATTTTTCGTTCTTTCTACTGATTTGTTCCCATTCTTCGTGTTCTTACCCACTTGCATTCTTGTAGGTTTGAGAAACAGAGGAACACTTAGACGAAAGTGAAAGACTTTCTTCGCTTTTAGGGTTTCAATTTTCAGTATTTGGCTCAATTTAGTGCGGAAGAAATCTTGCAACACTTCTGGGTTTTCGTCTACATTTTCTCGTGAACGTATAGAAAATTTCGAATTCGGTACCATTCTATTCATTTTTTTTGTTTAAATTTGTTATTCTTATGAATCATTTGATTTGTCTGTATACCTGTTTTATCCTGTTGTACACTGTTAATGTTACTGTCCAAAGTTTGGTCCTTTTGTACTTTTGATTGAGAAACTTTAACAGAAATTTCATCTGAAATAATTGGCTAAGCTCTGAATCAATATTTCAAAACCAAATGTCATTGTTGTTCAATACTTGTGCATTTTCGTAGAAGTAATTCAGATTGCTGTGATATGTAGATGATAGAAATGGAAGCTGTTGAGAGGAAAAGATCGAGAGGAGGGTTTCTAAATCTGTTTGATTGGTCCGGAAAATCCAGGAAGAAGCTCTTTTCCTCTAGCAGTACCTCAGAACTCTCCGGTAATGTCTACAAAACCATCACTTGTTTTAAATGTCTGATTTAAGTTTGAAATGGTTCTTGTCCTGAAGCAATTGGTTGATTTCTCGTTATGCTTTTTGATTCACTTTGGCTTCTTGTTCAATAGACTCAAAAGTCTTGTCGTGTTTGTATCAGAAGCATCAAAGCAAGAGAATCAAAATGCTCAAAATAAGTCATGGCCCTCTCCGGTAAGGCTTCCCAGTTTGATTGTTTTTTGAATTTAGTGAATGGCAGGAACCAACAGTCTTTGATCTGTTCTATTTTTGACAGACTGAGGTTGATGAGACTGGAAAGAGTTCGACTTACAATCCGAGAAGTGACTCGAGTTGTTCTACATCCACTGTTACTAGTGATGATGGACAAGGTTCCCGAGCTCCGAGTGTGGTTGCAAGGCTCATGGGTCTAGAGTCTCTACCTGTGCCAAATTCCCTGGAACCTCGGTCTAGTTCCGGATTTGATCCATTCTTCCTTAGATCTTCACGCAAGGCAAGCACATGGGATGCATACGAAAATTTTGGTTATGTAAATCTCCGCACGGACTATGATGGTATTTCTTGGGACCATTTGGATTCAAGAATGCGTAACCGACCTATTGACCGGTTTCAAACTGAAACTTTACCTCCAAGATCTGCTAAACCAATCTCAGTCACTCACAATAGGCTCTTGTCACCTATCCGGAGTCCTGCGTTTGTTCAGTCCAGGAACCCTGCTTATGTAATGGAAACAGCTTCAAAAATGATCGAGACAAGCCCTCGGATAGCTGCGAAACCACGGTTTTCATCATCTGAATCTTCTTCATCACTTCCAATGAGGATCAGAGATTTGAAAGAGAAACTAGAAGCTTCACAGAAAGGAACAAGCCCTCAAAACTCTTATGGTACCCGCAACATTAAGACCTTAAGAGGAAAGCACGACGAAAAGAGAACTACATCATCACTCAAGACAGCAGAGACAAATAATCTCTTGGGAAAAAGCAGTTTTAATGGTTTGAAGGGTAAAGTGAAGCCGCCTTCTGTATGTGCATACGCAAAGGCCAATACTAACAAGGAAGTCAGCTCAACGCCGCCTTCAAGTTACAACAGGGGCCAAAAGGAGAAGATGGAAACTAAGAACCGTATAATAAAAAATGGTCTCAAAGGATTTTCTGGTAGCACTGGGAAAACTTTGGTTAAGCCAAATAACCAGAAACATAACCAATTCGCTGTGACGTCTGTTTCAAACCAGAAAGGCAGCAAAGTGATGAACAAAGTTGTAAACAAGGTTTTGGTGGAAAGAGGAACTACATCTAAAAGGCCTGGTTTTACAGCAACATCGGCGGAAAAGAACACTGCTTTATCTTTGTCCCGCAAAAAGAATCTTCCCCGCAACAAAAAACCGCCAAATGGAATGCAAGAACCTGGAATTATCAGTGACAAACGGATCAAAAGGGGTGAAAAGTTGATAAAATGTAATGTCACCGTTGATGGCGGGTTCAAGACAGGTGAAGATGATAGAAAGAAGGACATGGATGTGGTTTCGTTCACTTTCTCATCCCCGATGAAGGGTTTATCATCCGATTTACGGTCCTCCACTAAAAAGACGGATCAAGATTCAGAATCTGCTCTTAGTTTCAGTGAGATCGACGGTGATTCTCTAAATATTCTGTTGGAGCAAAAGCTCAGAGAGCTAACCTCTAAGATTGAGTCATCTTGCAGTAGCCTTACCCAAGAAGAAGAGTCTTCGAGTTCTATTTCAAAGGATTGGGTGAATGGGACGATATCATTGCCATCAGATGATCTGGATAAAGTTTTATCAGAGAGCGAATCTGTTTCTGACTGTACTTCATTCTACAATAACACAAAGTTCCAGGTTGGTCATATGGCTTATTCCTTTCTCTGCACAAGACTCTCTCTAGTTTTAGTAGCTTACCACTGTTTCTACATGTAAATATCTCTGCATTCTCCAGGCAGAAGAGCAGGAAGTTAACAGCTTCAACGTTGTATCTGAAGCCGAGTATCCCCAAATCTCCTGCAGGAATAGTTTGTCAAATTCACGCAAAGAATCTCACCATGAGACTGAAGAAACAGAACTCTCAGAATCCGTTGCTTTCTCAGAAGCTGAAGAAGGCCATGACTGGGAGCTAGAGTATATAACCGAGATCATAGCCTCTGGCCAACTGATGATTGAAGAAGTCTCCTTGCAGATGGCTACTGACATATTACCTTTGAGCCTTTTCGATGAAATCGAAGGTAAGAGACGCGCACGCGGCAAGACCGAGAGGAAAACGTTGTTTGACTTTGTGAATCAGTGCTTGACACTCAAATGCGAGAAGATGTTCATGGGAAGCTGCAGAGGATTGTTAGGGAAAGAAGGGATTTTGTTTAAAAGGAAAGAGATTTTAGCTGAAGAAGTAAAGAGAGAGATTCAAGGAT